AACATCCGTCCGTGTCGCCCCCTCTGGAACTATGCCCTCACCAGCTTCTCTTTGGTGCGCCTCCATCTTATGATGGTCTTTGTATCTTCGGGTGTCTCTGTTATCCTAGCACCGCGTCCATCGCTCCTCACAAACTCGCTCCACGGTCAGTTCCTTGCATTTTTCTCGGCTACCCTCCTAATACCAAAGGTTACCGGTGTTATGATCAAGTGTCCCACCGCATATATACATCGCGACACGCGCACTTTGATGAGATGGTGTTCCATTTCCAGCAGGTACCACCCTCCGCCGAGCTACCCGCGGCTCCTCCCGCCGCGCCTCTGCCCTGGTGCAGCACTCGGTCGCGGCTTGCCCCTGCCACCACACCTGGCGGGCTTCCCCCTTCGTCGAGTCCCTCTCGGCCTCGCCCCGAGCCCGACGCCTTCTGCCTCCACAGTCCCATCGGACACCACTGGCGCGACCGCCTCCTTTAGTGGTGATCCCTCGGGTGCGGTCTCCTCCAGTCGGGCCACCTCTGGCTCTGGCTCGGTCGCCTCAGACGCGGCCACCTCTCCGGCCGCCACGACGGCCTCGTTGGATGCCTCTAGCACGACCCCCTCCGACTCGGCCGCTGCGGGCTCTCCGTCGTTTCAACCTCGAGGTCCTATGAGACTGGCTCAACTTCATCATCGCATGTCTCCCCTCCGGCTCATCCGGTGGGTGCTGCACCCCCCTCTAGTGTGGTCACACGGGCTCGCACTTGGACGTTCCAGCCTAGCACGCACTACACCTTTGACGATGTTAGACTGTATATTGTATGACAACTGTATTTGTATCTGTATTGTACCTCTTGGTACCTTATATAAAGTGATAGGCCACGCACCAGATGCGTGAGCCAGTTTCCACCAAACCACAGTTTAACATGGTATCAGACTAGGTTTTCTCAACCCTAGCCGCCGCTCCCTGTCCTTGGCCGCCGCCGCCGCCTCTTTGATCGCCGCGCCGCCGCCAAGATCTCTCTCACCATGAGCTCCTCCGGCGCTCCCTCGGCCTTTTCCGCTGCCCTGCCCGCCTCTACATCCTCACCTGCAGCGGCGCCCTTCATCCCGCCCCAGCTTGCGACGCTCCTCGCCGCCAGCACCACGAGCTAGATGGCCGCATCCACCACCTCGCGCCCCCTGTACCTCGGCTCGTCGCAGTTCGCCCCAGGGTTCTTCCCTACGTCGCCGGCCTAGGCATCGGCCCCCCTGGTGCCCTTTGGTGCGGCGCCACCCCCGGCTCCATCGGCGCCCTCGGCCTCGATCAACTCCACTGCGGCCGATGTCGTCGCCCCTGCTAGATCCACGGTCGCCGACGGCCCGGGCACTGGCCCCTATCAGCTCAAGCACCTCATCACGGTGCGTCTCACGCAGGACAATTACCTGTATTGGCGGGCGCAGATCTTGCCACTCCTTCGCAGCCGTCACCTCGAAGGCTACGTCGACGGGAGCCTCCCGTGTCCGCCCAGCCTCGTCCCTGCGGTCACGGCCACCGGAGCCCGGGTCTCGGCCGAGAATCCGGCGTACCGCGCCTGGGTCGCGCAGGACCAGGCTATTCTGTCCGCACTTCAGTCCTCCCTGACGGAAGGAGTTGCTGGCCTGGTGGTGTTCGCCGCCACGTCTGTTGACGTCTGGGCGACGATGGCGGACAGCTTCTCGGCTAACTCCTCCGCTCGCGCGTCGACTCTTCGTCAACAACTCCTTGAGTGCAAGAAGCTCGACTCCTCTGCGCACGTCTACTTCAACAAGATCAAGACGATCGCTGACACCCTGTCCGCTATCGGGGAGCCGCTTCGTGACACGGAGTTCACTGACTTCGTTCTTCGGGGCCTCGATCAGGACTACGACAATCTAGTTGAGGCGGTGCGGGGTCGTGAGACGCCCCTGTCCTCTCGGGACTTGTATGCACGCCTCCTCTCCACCGAGCAACGTGTTGACGCCCGCCATGCCGTGATGCAGCTGAACGATCCTCAGGCCCACGCCGCCTACCGTGGTGCTTCTACTGGTGGCCATCGTCCACCTCGCCCTTCGGCTGGCCCGTCCACGGGAGGTGGTGGCCGCCAGCCTCCTCCATCGCAGCCGTCACGTGGTCCTCCTGTGACCACCGATCGCCGCGGCCGGCCCAACGTCGACTGCCAGCTATGTGGCATCCACGATACTATGCCTCCCGCTGCCACCGTCGCTTCAAGAGGGACTTCCTTGGCATCGGCAACGACGGGCGCGGCAACGAGAAGCAAGCTGCCATCGCCGAACAGAGTTCCGCCGGCCACCCCGACGGAGGCGGGTACACGCCGTCGTATCCGATCAACCCCGCGTGGTACTTCGACGCGGGTGCCACGGAGCACATGACCAATGAGGCTGGTCAGCTCCAGGCGCAGGAGCCCTACCGCGGCCGTGACAAGGTCCGCACCGCTGATGGTTCAGGTATGCCCATTACTCATGTTGGTCAGGCATCCCTTCTGTCTAGTTCCTCTCGTCGCCTTCGTCTTCGTAATGTCCTTCACGTTCCGCATGTCACTCGTCCATTACTATCTGTTCGTAAGTTTACTTATGATAATGATGTGTTTTGTGAATTTCACCCGTTTCATCTCTTCGTTAAGGATCGAGCCACACGGGAGGTTCTGCTTAGAGGTCGCATCCATCAGGGCCTGTATGCATTGGAGGCGCCATCTCTTTCGGAGGCCTTCACCGCTGTTCATACGTCGACGTCCCATTGGCATGCCCGGCTTGGGCATCCTGTGTCTCCCATAGTTAGCCATGTTTTGCATCGACATGAACTTCCTACGTCGTCTAGTTCTAAAAATTTAGCAGTTTGTGATGCTTGTCAACAGGGAAAAAGTCATCAGTTACCGTCTGTGTCTTCATCTCGAGTTGTTACTACTCCATTAGAGCTTGTGTTTTCAGACGTATGGGGCCCTGCCCAAACATCTGTCAGTGGTCATAAATATTATGTCAGTTTCATTGATGCCTACAGTCGCTTTACGTGGCTTTATCTCCTCAAAAGCAAAGCTGATGTGTTTAATGTGTTCTTACAATTTCAATTGCATGTTGAGAGACTCCTACAGCATACAATCATTCATGTTCTGTCCGATTGGGGGGGGGAGGGGGTGAATACCGCAACCTCAATTCTTTCTTTAATAAGCTTGGGATATCTCATCGTGTTTCTTGCCCACATACACATCAGCAGAATGGTGCCGTTGAGCGCAAGCACAGTCACATAGTTGAAGCTGGCCCTACACTTCTTGCTCATGCCTCCGTGCCATTTCGGTTTTGGAGTGATGCTTTTACCACTGCTTGTTTTTTGATTAATCGAACTCCTACTCAAGTATTAAAAATGAAGACACTGCTTGAACTGTTGTTTAACGAACTTCCTGACTATACTTTCCTCAAGGTTTTTGGCTATGCTTGTTGGCCGCACCTTCGGCCTTACAACAGTCGCAAGCTTGAGTTTTGCTCCAAAAAGTGTGTCTTCCTTGGGTATAGTGCTCTTCACAAAGACTACAAATGTCTCCATGTTCCAACAAATAGAGTCTATATCTCCCGTGATGTCGTGTTCGACGAAAATCTGTTTCCTTTTTTGAATATGCCATCTTCCCCAACCGTTGTCTCTTCCTTTGTTCATAGGTTGTAGACGCAATCTTAACTTACTGAGTACCTCAAGCCACAGTTAAGATTGAGGGAAGGTGTTTGTATCTATATTGTATCTCTTGGTATCTTATATAAAGTGATAGGCCACGCACCAGATGCGTTGAGCCAGTTTCCACCAAACCACAGTTTAACAGACGAGTATGTGTGTGCTGCATCAACCTCGACACTGTCACCTCTACCTTCCTCCGCTCGTTGCGATCCGGCTTGTTGCGATGCGCGAGGAATTCGACGCCCTACAGCGCAAGTGATGGCTCCCAAATAGTAGAAGGAAACGACCCAAAGGAGACATCACACCATGACGACAACAAGTGGAGACAGCTCGCAGGGGCTTGTAGGTAATTTCACACGCGGTTATTACAGCAATCAAAGTGATACAAGGGTTTTATTAAATCGGCCTATGGCATGGCATGGCCCAGGTCAAGTTTAAATGCAGGGAACCAAAGAACCTCTAAAAAATCCAAAAAAGCATCTTGCTGGATCAGTTCAACCTAAAAAAAGGCAAAAAAATGGATCTTGCTGGATAAGTTCAAGCTCGCAAGAAAAACAAAAGATGCATCTTGATGGATTAGTTCAACCTCACGGACCTCATCATGCAAGCAACCTAACACACAACACAAGCCTGGACTACCGCAAGTAATAATCAACAAAATGAAACTTGAAAACGATAATTCTGGAACACTTCCAGAATATCAGTATATGCATCCAATGCAGAAACAGCTAGAAGATATCAACTCTGATGTAATGATCATTTCATTTGTACAAAAAGTTGACTGCCGATGCAGAATGTCAGTTCTTTGGGGCACGGTCGAACTCAGTATCTACAGATTCTGCAAACACATGACTAACATGCATTACAAAATGGAATCCAACTTGGTCCCCTCTTAAGATACAAACATCAAATAAATTTGTAGAATGACAATCATAGCTAGCTGGTTCCCTCTCATCCAAAAGTCAAATCGAACAAAACTGGGTGCAGATTGTTTGGCAGTGACGGCTGAAATCAGTAGCGGTACACTGCTGTGAAAACTGCGTTACCATGTTGTAAAATTCTTTTGGATCAAAACCTATGTTGGCAACTGAAAGGGGGGAGGACGACTATGGTCAATTAAATGAAGAGTCACCAACAGATTGTGTTGACAACAGATGGCTCACTGCTGTGAAAACTGCGTTACCATGTTGTAAAATTCTTTTGGATCAAAACCTATGTTGGCAACTGAAAGGGGGGAGGACGACTATGGTCAATTAAATGAAGAGTCGCCAACAGATTGTGTTGACCAGATGGCTCACCACATGACATCCTTTGTGAGGTATTTCACAACTGTGCCATCCTTGCATTTAAGCAGGCTTATGCTTACGGTCAGCCAGCCGATTCTTCACCTGAATATATTGGGAACAGAAAGACATGTTAGTTCAAATTCAAACAATGCTCGGGTAAAAAAAAGAAAAAAATTCAAACAATGGGGTCACCGCATGATTTTAAGTTCAGAGATATATTCATTACACTGTTTGTGTTTAGACCACCACTTCCTTTATTCTTCAGACATTTTAGATTCCACTTTATTTTAGACCAGGAGACATATTATTCAAAGAAAGTGGAATCTAAACATATTATTTAGATTCCACATGTCTTTGAATACAATCCCGCGTCGCTCCCGCAGGCGACCGGGAGGGCAAACCCTAGCCGCCGCCGGCCTAGGCCCCCCTCTCCTCCCTCTCTCCTCGCCGCCGCCTGGGTGCGCCGCCGGCCAAAGCCCGACCGGCGTGGGCGGCGGCGGGGCTTTCCCCCCCTCGCTCGTCACTGGAGCGTGCGGGATCTGGTGTAGGGCGGCGGCGGCATGCTGATGCGGGGCGCGGCGTGACGGCGGGCATCGACGGCGGGGTCATGGACGTCGAGATCCGGCGCGGGGGGCTGCGTGGGGTGGTCTTCCGTGGCGGCGGCTCTGGTGCGGCCAGTGCGGGCGACAGGGGCGCCGTCAGCGAGCTGGTGGCTGCGAGTGCGAGGGGCTCGGCCTCTGCCCAGATCCGACCGGGTCTGCGGGCTGGGGGCCAGCCTGCGGCGCGGGGAGCGGCTAGAGTCCCGATTGGGCGGATGGTGGCGGCGGCGCAGGGGCTTCGGGTGGTTGCGTGCCCGGCTGGGTCTCACGGCTGGAATCTGGCGGGCGGCGCGGGTTGGGGCAATGGCCCGGCATGGTTGCTGCTCCGGCCATGGGTGGCCGCGGTGCTGTATGGTCCATGCGGCGGCCGTCTGGCGGCGCGGCGGCTTCATGGTGGTTCGGCGGCTCTGCCCGCGGCGACGGCTGGCTCTACTCCGGCGTCGGCTCGTCTACGGTCGGACCATGTCGACCTTCGCTTCCTCTCCTCATCGTCCGGGCTCTACTTCTGTCAAAGGGCTGACCCTCTCCCAGTTGCGGTCCATCGGTCGACTCGCGCCCGGTGCAGCAGGACCGACCTCGTCTCGCGCACGGTGTCGTCGGACCGAGCTCGTCTCACACACGATGCAGCAGGACCGACCTCGTCTCACACATGGTGCAGCAGGACCAACCTCGTCCCGCGCCCGGTGCGGCAGGACGAGTCGATGGAGGCCCGTTTTGGCTGGCCTACTGGGTCTCGCCATTGGGGGATGTCCAGGGGTGGGAAAGTCGGGTCTTTCCGCTCGTCTCTTTGGTTGGGGTAGCGGCAGATCTCGGGTGAGATGGTGTCTAGGTCTTGGATGCCAGGGCAGCGGCCCTGGGGGTGGTGGTTGCGCGGTGCTCTTAGGCCGAGCCCGTGGCTTGGTGCTGCCCGGTGGCCATGGCCGTGTGGGCGGCGTGGTAGCCGGGGTGTGGCGATCGGTGGCGGTGAGTGTTGCCGGGGTGAAAACATGTTCTATCTTCGGACGGACTGGCGGCGGCGAAGCTCGTTCCCTTCTTGAAGGCGTCGTCGCGGCTCTCACCGCCCTTCGTGTGGCTCCAGGGGAAACTCTGATCCTTGGATCGGGCGGTGGCGGCGCTCTGGTGTCGTATCCTTCCTGAAGGCGCCGTCTTGGAGTCCACGGGTCGTCGTATGCGGCTTTGTCTCTTCACGATAGTGCTAGGGGTGGTTTTGCGGCGCTCAGCGCCTATGTTTCTTGCCTTGGGTGTGTGAGTGTGTTGTGGTGGCGTGCGTTTGTACCTGGTGATGTTGATCTGTGCTTTATATATAAAGCGGGGCGGAAGCTTTTTTGGGTAATACAAATTAATCTCCTGTTCTAAACAGAAAGAATTATCTTAGCTCCCTAAACCAAAGATAACATCTAGAGTAAATGACTAGAGGCTAGTAATATACATGACATTCTACTTTAGAGCAGAGTACCATGCTCTAAGGATGGTTCATCAAGAGAACCAGTGAGGCACAGATTTATAATGTAAATGAGGGGCGATCATCCGGGTTGACCCCACCAAGTGCAAACCGGTGATGCACAATATACGTCCGCAGTTCACTCATTTAGCACTTCTCTGAAACCGTAAAACCTTATTTCGAATACCCCTAATGTAGGCTGGTCGGTCCCAACGCTACTCTCAAATGGCAGGATCTGTTGGTTTTAAAGGATTTCCATAGGAATTCTGGAGGATTGTAATCCTTATGAACTTTTCCTTTGTGGGTTGTTTGATTTGTAGGATTATAATCCATAGCACTTCTTCCTGTGGGCTCATTTGAATTAATTTTCACAAGAAAACTTTCATTGACTCGTACCTCCTGGAAAAATTCCTATTGTTCTCCTATGATGCAATCAATCTTATTGGATTCAAAGCATACCACTGCAATCCTATGTAACTTTTCCTATTCCCACATTTTTGAAATCCTACAAAACAAAGAGGCTCACCCCTTTCCTGATTCAAGAAACTTCTTGTCCTTTCTAATGTGCATAGGCTTGTACCCGAAAACCGAAAAGAAACAGTTTTAGAATCCATAATAGAACTAAATAAAATGCACTGGTTTCTAGGGATGAAATTTTACCGCATTTACATACTTCAGCTGCTTTAAGACTTCATCTGTATCCAACTCCTGCAGAAAACGATAATATTTCAAGAAATTAGAAGGCATCACTTTGAAGTAACATGTGTATCTACTATCAACTCTACATTATTTCGGGACATATAATAGGTTAACCAAATTTTGTGTACTAGTAGATGACCAGATACCAGCAGGATTTCCTGAGTTATCGGCTATACATTGTATATTCGAAGCAGAAGCAGTTTCTAACGAGTATTCAAAACCTTACTCAGTTTATTACTGAAGTTTGGAGTGTAGAGTATGATGAAATAGACCTTAGTATTGCTATGGGCCAAACAGGCCAGATATAGACAAGGTACATGTGCACATATACCCCCTACAGAAGAGAATAACTACACCGTCCTCTACATGGCAGTACTAC